AGTCCGAAGGTGAGTGGGAGTGAGGGATGGCTGCAGCTCCATTCACCAAGAGGGTGTGGGGTATAAAAGTAACAAGGGGAATATAGCACCTTTCCAGTCATTCATTTCTGGAATGTGCTTGTGGTTCCCGGAAAGTGGAGCCTGTTCTTAGGTCCCTGGAATCTGAGAAAACACAGTTGCTTTAAATATCCAAAATGGTCCACCCACTTGTAAACATTCAAAATGGCGGTGCCCTTCGAACAGCAAAAGTCCACAGCTCAGCCTGTCTTCCCTCTTCGCTGCTTCCCCTTTTATTCACCAGCCACCAGTGCAGTCCTCTGTGCAGCCCCTGGCTAGCAGGGCTGATTTTTAGGTTAATTTTAGGTCCTAACACCAGTTGGTAATATCCAAGCTGTCCGGGCCGTCAGGATCACTGAGAGACTGCAGCTCTGTATGTCTCCTTTCTTGGTGTTTCATGCAGGTTCTTTTACTAGTTGGAGTTTAGTCCACATCTGTATCCTTCCTTTCAAAGCTCAGGGCTCCAGGATTATCTTCTGTATAGCTCTGCATGTATACTTGCAAAGTCCCATTTTGGCATATACGTACATACATATATAAGCCAAAAAAAGAAAAAAAACAAACTCACTGCCATCAAGTCGGTTCTGACTCATAGTGATCCCTCCTTGGGTTTCCAAGGCAGTATCACTACAGGAGTAGATTGCCCAGTCTTCCTTCCAAGGAGTGGCTGGTGGGTTTGAACCACAGCCTTCTGGTTAGCAGTCAAATGACTTAGGTACTATGCCACCAGAGCTCATACACACCATACACACACATACACACACACACACACACATATGGAGCTCTCGTGGCATAGTGAGTAAGGCATTTGGCTGCTAATGAGAAAAGCTGGCAGTTTGAACCCACCAGCTGGTCCGTGGGAGGAAGATGAGTCAGTCTGTTTCTGTAAAGATTTATAGCCTTGGAAATCCAAAGGTTCCATGAGTCAGAATTGACATGATGGCAGTGGAGATACACACACACACACACGTGTATGTATGTGTGTATGTCTTAGCTCTCTATGAAGTAATTTGTTTTTAAATGTGATTATAATATTAACAATTGAACACAAAAGTGTTGTATGCTTAATACCCCATTTATTAGGCTATATAGAGTAATATCAAGTACTGTTTCCCATGCAACAGACAAAAAAAAAAAAAAAAAAAACTCACTGGATACATAAATTAAAACCTTTCTTGTTAGATAAATATTAATATTTCCAATATATTTTGGACATTAGCTATGTTACTATTATATT